CCCTTCTGCTCCTATGATGCTGCTTGGCCTGCTGTGTTCGTCCAGCCCTGCACCTTGTTGTCTCGGATTCTCCAGCATCTGCAGTTCCTACTATCACTAATGTCTTTAGTTGTGACTGAAAGTCAAAGATGTTAAATCTAAGTTGTTGAACTTTATACCTTGAGAGATTTATGGAAGGATCTTTCTCCGAGGTTGTATGTCGTCATCTCAGCTCCAGGACATCTCTGCAGGAGTTCCTCAGGGTCGTGTCCTAGGCCCAACCATCTTCAGCTGCTTCATCAATAACCTTCACTCCATCATAAGGTCAGATATGGGACACTCGCTGATAAGTGAGCAATGTTTCAGCATCATTTGCAACTCCTCAGATACTGAAGCAGTCCGTGTACACATGCAGTGAGACCAGAGCAATACCCTGGTTTGCGCTGACAAGTGGCAAGTAACGTTTGCACTGCATAAATGCCATTCAATAAACATCACCAATATGAGACAATGTAACCAATGCCCTTGACATTCCACGGTGCTACCATCATTGAATCCCTCACTGTCAACATCCTGAAACTGAACTGAACTGAACTACCCATACATGTACTGTGGCTACACAAGAAAATTAGAAGTTAGGAATACTGCCATGGGTAACTCCCCACCTTCTACAAGGCACAAATCAGACGTGTGATGAAATACACTCCACTTGTCTGGACGAGTGCACCTTGATACCATCCAGGACAAAGCAGCCTGCTTGAATGGCATTACATCCAGAGGCATCCAGTCCCTTCCAGCTCTGTTGCTTAGTACTACCTTTAAGCTGCATATGGAAATTCACCAAAGCTCCACCTTTCAAAACCATGTGGAAGGACAAGGACAAGGGCAGCAGATATATGGGAACACCACGACCTGCAAGTTCCCTTCCAAGCCACACTCCATCCTGAGTTGGAAGGATATTGCCTTTACTTTACTGTCACTGGGTCAAAATCCTGGAATTCCCCACATAAGAGTTCAAGAAGACAGCTCACCACCACCTTCTCAATAGCAACTAGGGATGGGCAAGAAATACTGGCCCAACCAATGACACCCACATCCCATCACTGAATTTTTACTAAGTTTTGAAATATGCAGAATGGATTTTGCCAAAGTTTGTCCACACTAATACATGGAGCTATTTCTTTTGTTTTTAAAGAAGTGTGATTATTAGAGCTGAAGTGAATTCAAACTATAAACCAGATTTCAGCTTAGTAATAAATAGTAATGAAATGCTTCTTGTGCTCCTCACTGCATGACAAGCGTGTGGAAAGAAAGCTTTGTTTTGCCTATTTTAAATAGTCTTAAAATTTTCAACTTGGTCTAAGTAATAAATATTTATTTACAATGTGATGTCTTGGAGAAAGTGTACTTGATAGACCAAAAGGCCTTGTTTCTGTTTCCAAATGGTCCTTTTATGTTTCCTGCTCATGCTTAAACGCATGGTTCAATGACATTGTTGTGCTAACATTTCAGTCACCTCACTGCTCTTGAAATTTTGTTGAAGAAAAAGATGACCTCTGGGTGGAACCAATGATTCAACATGTCTAATTCAACTTCTACATATGTACTGTTCTGCCTCTGTTTCTGTCTGCAAGAAACTTTAAGGGGAGCAGGCTGCACAGCACAAATAAAAACATGTTCTTGTGTGTGTTAGACAGGTCTCTCATTGGTAGCTGCGTTTCTGGTTGGATCTTAAATCAAATTCTGCAAACCACAAGTAATTTGGCTGTGACCCTATTTTTCACTCGCATTTGAGTGTTATACCAAACTTGTTTCCTCCTTGCTATGTTCCCTTTTTAATTGAATGTGCTTGTTTTAACAACACTTTTTTTTAACATCTTTTGTGGGGTGGCACGGTGGCTCTGGTTAGCACTGCTGCCTCACAGCACCAGGGACTTGGGTTTGATTCCATCCTCTGGCGATTGTCTGTGTGGAGTTTGCACATTCTCCCCGTGTCTGCGTGGGTTTCCTCCCACTGTCGAAAAATATGCAGGCTAAGTGCATGGATGGGCAATTTTCCATGGCCAATAGTGTTGAGGGATGTGTAGATTAGGTGGGTTTTAGGGAATGGGTCTGGGTGGGACGTTCTGAGTCGATATGGACTTGTTGGGCCGAAGAGCCTGTTTCCACACTGTAGGGATTCTATGACTTGATTTTATTATTGTCCCATGTACCCAGATACAGTGAAAAGTTCTGTTTTGTGTGCAGTACAGGCAGATCAGATCATAGGGTGATAGAACAGAGTGTGGAATACAAAGTTATCTTATTAAACACTATTTAATAATTCATCTGTCTAATTTCCCTGACCAAAGCATGCTTTAAAAACACTATTACATTTGTAAGGGCTTCCCTCTCAAATATCACTACCTGAACTAACCCATCCAATTCAAAACGATTTTTCACAGTGCTCGGCAGAAGTATATTCTAATGATGAGGAAGAACTGTAGGAAAAGAGAGCCAGCCATGGATATCTAAGGAAATAAAGGAAAGTATCAGATTGAAAAAAAACGCATACAAAAAAGCAGAGTAGTGGGAAACTAGTAGACTGGGAAATCTTTAAAGGCCAACAGAAAGTCACAAAAAAAGTTATAAAGAAAAGTAAGAAAGAAAAGTAAACTAGCTCAGAATATAAAAACAGGCAGCAAAAGTTTCTATAAATATGTAAATCGTAAAAGAGTGGCGAAGGTAAACATTAGTCCTTCAGAGGATGAGAAGGCCAATTTAATAACTGGGAATGAGGAAATAGCCGAGACATTAAACAGTTATTTCGTGTCGGTCTTCACTGTGGAAGACACAAATAACATGCCGAAAACTAATGGCAAGAAGGTTATAGCAGGTGAGGACCTAGAAACTATCATTATCACTAAGGAGGCAGTGCTGGGCAAGCTAATGGGGCTAAAGGTAGGCAAGTCTCCTGGCCCTGATGAAATGCATCCCAGGGTACTAAAAGAGGTGATGGGGGAAATAGCAAATGCACTGGTAATTATTTACCAAAATTCACTGGACTCTGGGGTGGTTCCTGCAGATTGGAAAACAGCCAATGTGAC